ACTGGAGTCCGGTGGCCGCTCCCGGCCACCGCAGCCTCGACCTGCTGGGCTCCGGCGATCCTTCCGCCTCAGCCTTCCACGAAACTGGAACTACAGGCACGCGCTACCACACCCGGCTAACTTTTTGTTTTATTGTAGAGATGAGGGCTCACCAATTGCCCAGGCGGGTCTCGAACCCGTGGGCTCAGACAATCCACTCCCCTCAGCCTCCCAAGGCGCGGGATTGCAGGCTGAGCCACCGAGCCCGGCTTCTAATTTTTCTAATTTACTTTTAAATAAACTTTTCTGTCTTAAAAAAGAGAGAGAAACACACACACACACACACACACACACACACACACACACACACACACACACACACCTTTCCAAAAAGTAGAGAGGCAGCCCAAACTGCTTCCCAAAACTCCTCCTCCCTCTGCATCAGGATCCCCCGCAGAGCCCCTGTGGGGCTCCCCCTCCTCTCTCCCTGGATCGCGGAGCTCGGCCCCCACCTGAGTCCCGGCTTCAAGTGTTCACATCTCATCTTCCCAGCCATCTGCTCCCGCAGGTCTTGTGGGCCGGATGTTTACTCTGCTGACACCACAAACAATCTCTGAGCCTCCAGGGTGTGCCAAGGACTTCTGGGCCCCGGGAATGCTCGGGCCACAGTGGGGCTCCACCATCCTGTCAACCGCCCGCCCGAGGGGGTCTGGTCTGCTCTGCCGGTAAGGGCGGGGCTGCAGAGCACTGTGGTCCCCCAGCTCAGGGCAGCGGGAGCCACCTGGGCACCCAGCTGGGAGGAATCTTCAAGAGGAGAGGGCCCCAGGGAGGGCGGGAGGCAGGAACAAAACAGGAGGCGAGGGAGACCTGCCCTGGAGTGCCTGGGGCACTAGCCAGGGGCTGAGGAGTTGGAGCACCCGGCAGAGAGGCGGCAGAAAGGCAAGGGTCAAGAGTATCCTCTTCCCCCGGGAGGCTTGGGCTTCATCCCTGCGGGTACAACGTGAGGCTGCGCGCCGCCAGGGGAAAGGGGAACGGGCTGGGAGGGTCAGAGCCGGCCTTGGGGGGAAGGAGGGCGACAGGCGAGGGGCAGCGCAGGCAGAAAGGCTGGAGGACTGGAGACCACCCCCGCCCCAATCCAGGGCGGTGCGCTTGGCCCTGACTCAGCAGGGGGCAGCC